CTCCAACCCAGTGCCAAGTCGTGGGCTCCTGGTGAGAGCCGGGAGAGGGAGAGGAGGCCCTTCCCTAGGAGGAGCCACTCCTGACCCCTCGGACCTGGACGTGGCTCAGATCCACCCTCCTGCGCCCGGAGCTCAGGAAGACCTATTGTTGGGAATGTCAGTCAGCTGACTTTCTGCCTCCTGCTTTCTCTATCTGAAAGGGGGATCTGCATTTTCTAAGCCAGTTGGCAGCAGGCGCCCCAAACAGCGATGCACTGCAGGCCGCTGTATGGACTGTCACCCTGTGATAAGTGTGCCAGCTCAGTGGTGCACAGGTTTTCAGATACCCTCCCTTGGGCTATCAGTCTCCTACTCCTCCCCCACGCCCCTCGCACACACTGAGCATCAGGCTCTCGGGCTCACTTCTCAACATCGTTACAATAACCCATCCCGGCCAGTGATGCTTAAAATTGAACCATGGTTCAGGGGAGCAGTAGGTCCTCCCTGCAAGCACCCTCATGTGTTAAACAGCCATGCCAGGTAGCGCTCTGCCTTCTCAGAATCGACTACTTATGGAGACCATCTGTCAATGGAAGTTAGTTTTTATGCAAGTCCTCTAACCTCGCATTTGAAGGATAAACAAACTTGCACTTACATACTTTTCCGTAAGAGCAGTATTTCCCTAAATGCCCGTGCTAGCTGCCTGCTTCCATTCGGGGCGAAACAAGCCCAGTGCGGAGCCCCTCTGGTACCTCCATCATGACGGCGAATGTGCAGCTGAGACTTGCCATGCCGGGCCCCTTAGATGGTTGGAATTATTTCATTTGGCACCATGATTGCCTCAAATGATACATATTTTCAGAGAGAAAAACACTGCAAAAGTAAACTCAAACCAATAGAGACATTTATTCTCTAGGCTTAAAATTAATTTCCTGTATTTCTCTGGCTTTAAAAAAAAAATCTGTTGAAACTGCAACCTTATGAGAGGGAAAAAATCCGAAACTATTTCTTTTACACTGAGCCCAGTATCAGATGAAATGGAAATGTAAGGATTTCCTCAGCGTGAACCCACTGGAATTCTGCAGCTGAGAACCGAGGTCTGCAGGCTGTTTTAGGTTAAGACCTTGCTCCACTCCATGTTAGGTAATCAGATGTCATTTAGGCAAAATAAATGGGAAGTACTCAGGGAATCAGAAGAGGTGAAAGAGCAGAATCTGGTTTGGATAAAAGTTTAATTCTTCAGTTCCAAGAGGCAGAGCCCTTCGAAGATGCTGAGCAAAGTCGGACAGGAGTGGCGGAGTAATGAAGATGGATGCAGCTGGTTATCAGCAAGCCGTTTACTAGGGCTTGACATAACCTTAAACACTGCAGATAGCTCAATGGCACTTGCCACTAAAGCCCTAATTAATGAATAGCAGGCCCTAAATTAACCATGTGCATTTACAGATGAATTCTGGGCACTCATTAAATGATGTTCAAATACCAAGCAGAAACTGTTGGCTTAT